ATGAACTAGTGTCAACAGTTTATATGGTGCCAAATCTACCCTGTTGCCAGTGCGTTGTTTTCAAAAACAAGAAGGTTTCAGACATAACAAAAAGTTAGCATCAAATGGAGGCGGTCAAAGGGACAGTAGTCATCTGACATCATGACTAGTTGCCCCATAGCCATTGGCCAAAAGGGTTCACACAATCGATTGACACAGAGAAAATAACTCGCCCTAGAAATATAACAATAAGCATTGGAGGCAGAGGGATGTTCTTTTAGGGAGTTCGCTTCAAGCAGACCTTGTAAGCAGCAGGTCTAATTGGGCAGTTCCCAGACAGCAATCTTCATCAAGCATTCCCACTCAGGAGATGAAAGAGGGAGGAAGAAGTAGAGGAGGAAGACCCAGGGAAGAGTTCCCTATCACCAACAGTTAGAAAGCAGGATACGTTCTCCCCACCTCCTCCCCACATTAATGAGACTAACAGGTTCTGCAATGACCTCTCTGACCTCTTGTATCAGTGAACTATACCCAGTTGTCATGGTTATGTACTTTCTTAATCTGACAAACTAAGCTATCAAGGTCTATCATTAACACTGAAATTGCCATTTATCCAAACACGATGAAACCAGACAATTAGGTTGGTGTTAAGAAATTTGATTTGTGTCTTTATTGTCTCTAACAATTGATATTAGGAGATGTAATGTTGTTTGCAGAGTATTTAGCTTCAAAAGACAATCCAGCCAGACTTGTGTTCAAACTGCCTGAGCAGAGACAAAATTGGAAATTTGATTGAAATTGCAAACAAATACACTTTTCCACATTGATTATTGTTGAATAGTTAGACATAAGCAATACAAACCTTTCCCTTTAACATCAGCTCATTCTTGACAGAGGCATGAAGCTTTTCTTTGTGTCTTTAATTCAGTTTATTGCAGTAATTGTGATTCATGGTTTGAAATGCACTTTCCGCTCCCTCTTTTCTGTTTAAATAATGAATATAACAATCAACCTTTTGCCGTTTACACTGGCATTTGAGTTTTTGCAAAAGTGTTTTCCAAACTAGATCTTTGTTCTCTTAACAACAACTAGGTTAGGTGAATTGCTCATGCTGCATTGCCCACAGTATTCTGGGATGCGCAAGCCAGGTGGATTAGCCATGGGAAATGCAGGGTTACAGGGATGGAGGGATGGGACTGGGTGTGATGCTGTTCGGAGGGTCAGTGTGGATTCGATGGGCTGAATGGCTTGCTTCCACACTGTAGGGATTCTATGATTATATGATTAACTATCCTTATTTATATATTGTCTTTATGGAGTAAAACCACCAATATCACTGTATTCATTATTTAAATATAAAAGAAAATGACAGTTTTGACATGGTTATTTCTGGAGGTCAGGTTCATCTAGTCCGGGATTAGCTATATGTCAGTCGGGGAGCTGCACAGGGATCAGTCTGGGGTCCAGTCACTCATCAGTCAGGGCTGTCATTCAATTTGGTCAGAGGGATGGTGCAGACTCTGTCCTGTGGGTCTGCTCACTGAAAGTCATGGGGAGTTACCAGGAACCATTGCTATGGTGTGAAAGTTATTTGTGGGGAAGGAAGGCAGCATGCTGGGATCCAGACGGGACAATAACTGTGAAATGGGTAACTAAACAAAAAAGGTTAGGAGACATGAAGGCATAAGGATGCACAGAGTACAACTGGATGAGGGTCATCTACGGTCACCACCAGCCTGGCTTGGATGGGGTGACAGAGCATCCCTATATATTGGCATAACGAAGCTGTAGACTGGGGCTTAGGGGTAAAGTGGGAGACGAAAAGTTAAATAACAGGGTTGGATGGGGAACATGCAGAGGATCAGACCTGTTCGGGTTGACAGAGAGTAAAAGGCAGAAAGGAACCTGAAGGTTTGTGGAGGTCAGCTAGATCGAATGCAGAGTGCTAGCCGTCTTTCCTTCCATCCACATCCAAATCACAAATGTGCATTGGAAATGAAAAACACTTGCCAGCAAATCTGGAACAGGCGGAGTAAGTCTTTTCCGGTCTGAGGGAATAGGCTTCACTGTGGGTGACATTTGGCCCTTCAAGGGGTAATTGCATTAATCAGACTCACAATACAGGTTGAAGACATCAGATTGAAAGTACAACGTTCTGCATTTGTAGCTCTTGCAATGACCAACTACGTCAATTCCAAATTCTGGGCACCAGTAATGTTGACCATGATGTCGATCATTACAAATCAATCCTCGTAATCTCTGTGAAGCAAAAATAATCACAGGCGACTTATCAGTATCACCTGCACACCACAATTCGCACACTAATAGGCTGCATGAGGACCCAAAACTGCTTTTCGAACACATTCAACTGTAAATATTATTGCTGAATGATCACGTTACTAAGGAGCCACTATTTTTTCTGATATCCTCCACATTGGCCCATTGGGACTGAGCAGGTGCCTGACCTCCAGCTCTCCTCTGAGTACCACTGACCTGGAAGCAAGAGACAAGTCAGCGATATGTTCACCAGAATGTGCTCCTGGTTAGCTCCGACCGAGCTAACATAACCATGGGAATGATAGTATCTGAGCTGGTGTAATATGCAAGAGACAGCCTTGCCTGTGCTTGCTCTGAAGGATCTGTGGCTTCTTCCTCACAAATGGAGGACATAATGGTGCCGAAAGGGACTGGTCGCCTCTGGCGTGGTGTTGCTAAGATGTCTCTGCTGCATGCAGAAGACAAAAGAGGAAATGAGTTGAGCAATAGATGCAGAAGCTTCAGCATGTTGCAAAAATACTCCCAGTGACGGTAATAGGACAGCAGCAGCGTGCTTCACAATGAATCTTGGTTGCCAGAGTATGGAGGCCTTGGCATCACCACATCAATGGTCCTCTCCTGCAAAGGCAAGGATTTTTCCCTTGAGCAAATGAATGTCAGGCACCTCATCAGCTATGTTTGCCCCCTCTGTCCCACTGAGGGCCGTTTTCTCCCATTAGAAGGCAATATCGGGCACTGAGTGAGATAAACATGGTTGGAACAGCCGTTAGCATCGAGTGGGAGAAGTGTAGTAAGGTGTTTCAAGTGAGTGAGTAGGCAGCACAGAGGGCATGAGGGTTATTAGTTTTATGGATTGACAGAGTGAAATCATTGAAGAAAGATGTTGCATGCAGTAATGAGAATGGTAGACTATGAGCGTTGGTGGGAGGTGGGTACAGTGGCAGAATTAGAGTGAGTGTGAGGAACCAGAGGGAAGATGGTGGCACTTATCCTGGCAGATCACAGAAAGTCATTAACCTTCTTCCTGCACTGTTAGGCTCTCTTCTGGACCCTGGAAATTACACCAATCCAGAAGGAAACATTAGACCAGGCTGGCAGGTTCTGGTGCGTTGACTCCCCTGGTGGTCCTGAGGAAAGAGGAGAACAATAGATTCCATCACCCTACCTACCAGGACCTCCAAGTTCCTGTTTGTGAACTTGAGTGCCAATTTACCTCTGTTGGCCATCTCCTTTGGACTTCTACATACACTTGAACTGTGAAAGGCATTAGAAATAGCAAGGTGTAGAGCTGGATGAACACAACAGGCCAAGCAGCATCATAGGAGCAGGAAGGCTGACGTTTCAGGCCTAGACCCTTCATCAGAAATGGGGGAGAGGAAGGGGGTTCTGAAATAAATAGGGAGAGAGGGGGAGGCGGATAGAAGATGGATTGAGGAGAAGATAGGTGGAGAGGAGACAGACAGGTCAAAGAGGCGGGGATGGAGCCAGTAAAGGTGAGTGTAGGTGGGGAGTTGGGAGTAGATAGGTCAGTCCAGGGAGGACGGACAGGTCAAGGGGGCGGGATGAGGTTAGTAGGTAGGAGATGGGAGTGGGGCTTGAGGTGGGAGGAGGGGATAGGTGGGAGGAAGGACAGGTTAGGGAGGCGGGGCCGAGCTGGGCTGGTTTTGGGATGCGGTAGAGGGAGGGGAGATTTTGAAGCTTGTGAAGTCCACATTGATACCATTGGGCTGCAAGGTTCCCAAACGGAATATGAGTTGCTGTTCCTGCAACCTTCGGGTGGCATCGTCAACGAGACAGAGGAAAGATAAAGAGAATTAACTTTTAAGCTGGGAGTGGTTATGACCTTGAATTGCTTGATAGATTGCAGAAGCAGATTTAACAGTAACCTTCAGAACAGGTTTGAACCAATACTGTCTCTACCACAGATAAAGCTAAAAAATGATGTGTACAACTGCAATTTGTCTTTGATGCCAAACCAATCTGAAACCTGAACTGGAAGGAATGACAAATCAATGGCCAGCAGTGAACACAGAGAGAGCTGAGTAATCAAGTTCTGACTTCTTAAAAATATGATAAAAAATTAGCAACACTCCTGATAATCCTTTCATCCACGTAGCCTGGTGACAGTGCATTCCCACAATGAATTAAGAATTGTTTTTAGCACCAGGGGTGGGGGGAGAAGACAAGCATTTGGAGTAATTTGAGTCCAGTTGCCTCCTTAACTGGGCTGTTAGTGAGGGAACCTTTGCACAGTCACTCCCTTTCTCTTCCCACTCATCTTCTTCGACTCCTGTGTGCTTTAAGATTTTGCAGACGTAAGGATCTCAGATCACTACGGTGCTTTAGAAATGTTTTTGTGCTGCACCCTCTCCAGGAGATGTGCCCTATCACACACAGCACATAGCTGATAGAACCTGTTCACACTGACGTGACACCAATTTAAAGGATTTTCAAGTTAATATTCAAACAGCTGCAGCCAGCAAGAACCAGCTCAATTATCTGGATGTGATGTGAGGTCAGCAATAGTCAGGGTGGGGATGGAATGGCTAGTAGAAAGGTACTCTTAAAGGCTCTTGCTGCCGGCCTGAAATTATCAGCAGCCACAGTGTGCACTGTGGAGGACCTTCAGCCCACTGCTACTCACCCACTACCAAATCCAGCAATAATGGAAATGTGATTTTAATGTAGACTTTTAGGAAAACTGACCTGTGTGAGTAACCACATGTTTCCTTCACCAATCACAGTAGCACTGGACTGGATCTTCCCTGGGAGTTTCTGAACCACATGAGATGCTTCAATCATGGGTCAGAAACCAGCAGCAGGTACTGACAGAAGGTAAATGAGGGTAAGGATACTTCAAATGAAGTAGCCCTTTCTCACCATATTTTTTGAAGTCTAAATGAATAAAACGAAATAAAAAAGTACAAATTAGGATAAACCAAACTATTAACATATAGTGCAAGCTTAAACTTTTTGAAATACATGGTAAATTATAATTCCATTATTCCTATCCGCACTCCTTTGCAGTACATACAGCAGAGTGAGTTCCTGCTCACTCACATTCAGAGGGCTTAATTTGAACTGTGGCTTCAATTCACTGCCTTGAGAATCTGATAACCTGTTTCCTTGAATTTTCATATAATTAAGCTTAGATGTTCTCAGCTTCAAATAACCTCTTCACTGTTTTAGCCAAGCACATCTGGTCAGGACCTTTCAAGCCATGGCACAGTGGCTCAGTGGTTAGCACTGCTGCCTCACAGCGCTAGGGACCTGGGTTTGATTCCACCCTCGGGCGACTGTCTGTGTAGAGTTTGCACGTTCTCCCTGTGTCTCTGTGGGTTTCCTCTAGGTGCTCCGGTTTACTCACACAGTCCAAAGATGTGCAGGCTAGGTGGATTGGCTATGCTAAATTGCCCATAATGTTCAGGGATGTGCAGATCAAGTGGGTTATACAGGGATGGGTCCGGGTGGTCTCTGAGGGTCGGTGTGGACTAGTTGGGCCGAAGGGCCTATTTCCACACTGTAGGATTTCTATGATTCAAACTCCTTATATTGAGGTCACCTTTTTCTTAACAGTTCTATAATATTCTCTTTCTTTAGGAACAAATGACTTAGACAGCTAGCTGCAGCCAAGACTTTTGCAGAACTACCCAATATCAATAAGACTTTTGCCAAGCTCTGATCACTTCTGCTGAGCCAGAATCAAATCCCAGAATCTATTAACAGAAGCCTAATGCACATCATTATTTATTACATTCAATTATAAAATTTTCACAGTGTAAACAAAATCTTATTACTCTCCGGGAAGTCAGTCTCATCATGTGTTTTAAAAGAAATCACATGGCTACAGAAATACTTACAAGTTAATCCTTAAACCACATCATGGAGACATACCAAACCCACAGGCCAATAATTCAATATCCAAACTCTAAAGTATACGCTATTAAAATAAAAAGAAATCACACAATGTACATCACAATACGAACAAACCATGTTTCAGTGGCTTGCATAGCAGTGCAGACAGAGAAAGAAAAATGGGTTTTTAAGCAAGAGCTGGAACTTTCTCTCGCGCTTGCACATTTTAGTGGAAGTATGATAGCTGTGTGCCAGTATTAAATTAAAAAATATTTGTGGCGATCGACTAAGAGGAGGTTGAAAAGTGGGGAGTGCATCTGAAATGTAACAAGTTGAATTATTCATCAAAAATGTAACAGGTTGAATTATTTTTTTTTTATGAGTCTGTTTACAATTGATGCTTACTGTGCTTAATTAGTCACACCTGGATGTTTGCTCAGAGAAAGGAAAATGAAGCTCGAGAAAGAGCCAGAACCTAAAGCTAGAAGCATGAAGTTGATATTTTAAAACACTGTAAACAAAATCTGTTACGCACATAGGAATGAGTGTAACCTTTGTATAAATCAGAGATGCAAAATGTGCAACATCTCTGACACAGGATGATTGTCCTTCATCTGCGGAGGCACTTAATTCTGCAATTCTTTACCAAATATGTAGCCACACTGCTTCTCTTTCATCCTTTAAGACCCGAGTTAAAACCAATCTCCTTGGCCAATCTTTTAGCCTTCAGCTCTACTATATCCATTGCCTTTTAGGCAGCATCATTAAGGACTTCTGGAAGCATGAGAAACTATAGATATATAAGTTGTTGCTTTATTGTTCATGTTGTTATTGCTGACTGAAAATGAAAATATAGGAAGTTTTCATAAAGCATTAATGCTGTACCCATCTGTTGGACCTGGTGAAAAGGTGAGGAAAGATAGATATCTATAATCCTGAAACTCCCTCCATCCATGAACCATGGTTACAGGGCACTCCAGTATGAATTGTAATATGAGAGGGGTTTAAGAATTGTTTTTCGTGCAAATGGCCCAGGAAGAGGAACAAGCATCTAGGGTAATTTGAGGCCAGTTATCTTCTAACCTGAGCTGTTGAACCATGACACATCTCCTCCTCCTCCCATCTTCTTACTTTCCTAGTCAGCTTAAGGCTTTGAGAACTTAAGCATCTTGAGTCCCTAAACTGGTTTAAAATTGATGCAGTGCTGCATCCTCCACAGGAGCTAGGGAACTGTGCAAGCAGTGTAATTATGTGTTTCTTCAACCAATCCTTATGTCCATGACAACTGCCTAGTTAAAAATACACTCTAGTGGCTAGCTTTCAATAAATAGCACATGGTCATACCTCATTACAGATTTACACTTTTCCAGTATTAACTTTGTCCTCTCTTCCCTAAAAGTTAGCTGCATCTCTTAATAGCACTTTTAGTCTTTGATAAGAAGGGTGAGCAAATTGTTTAAGTTCAAGATGATTTGCTTTCATTTATCTTATTATTTTCACTTCTCTGACATTCAGATTAGACATTTCATGTACAGTTAGCAGAATGTAATCATACACTAATTGAGTAAACTGCAGATCATTGACTTTCTAAAAACAATCAATTTATTAGGTAACAAGGTGTAGAGCTGGATGAACACAGCCTGCCAGGCAGCATCAGAGGAGCAGGAAAACTGATGTTTTGGTTTCAGAAGGGTCCAGACCCGAAACGTCAGCTTTCCTGCACCTCTGATGCTGCTTGGCCTGCTGTGTTCATCCAGCTCTACACCTTGTTATCTCAGACTCCAGCATCAGCAGTTCCTACTATCTCCAATTTATTAGGTTCCCTGTCTCGTTTCATTTGTGCCTTTTCCACGGAACATCTATTCAACAACAAGGGTATCTCACTGTAGACTACATCAGCACTGATAAAATCATTAGTTAAAGGTTTAATTTAAACATGAAGGGCATCAGTTTGCAGGACATGCTTATGGCATCCAGAACCAGAAGACTTCACTTTTGAACAGAAGCCTAACAATTTTCAAATTTGAAGAAGGATTCTGACCACCCAAGAAATATTTGTCATAAATCAACTTGATGTACTTATGCTACAAGAAGACTTTATTGATCTAAGACATTGCTTGCTGAACGCAAAATGAAACACATATCAATTGAGGTCAGTTGGGTTGGTATTAAACAATTTTTTACATTACCAACATAACTATCTCTGAGAGGAATTAGTTCTCAGCTGTTCTAACTTAGTTCTTCAGCTAGTCAGTTCTACAGTCTATAGCAATGTACCATGAATCTAACGAATAACTCTTAAGAGATAACAATGTCTCTCACCTAATATTAATGCAGTTAATCTGTCTTAAGCTGAAGTAACCTGTTATCTTCATATTACTTAATAAACTACTTTGTGTTCAAGTACTTGCCCATTCTGTGAAGACTTAATAATGGTTAAGCTGTTATCAATGAAAACTAGTAAGAGTTCCATGGAATACAAGAATGATTCGTAGCAGCACGTCTACTCAAAAAAGATCTGATCATAATCGGGTGCCAGTTGCAGGCATCTCTTACAAAATTCACTTTTGTTTGAGCACTTTTTTCACGTAGTTTGCAGGTTTTTCAGAGAGAAATGAGATCTGTGTTATCTTGCACCTGTCCTCGGACAGATGTTTTAGTATGGAGGCTGCTTCCCAGTGCACTTACTCAACTTCAGTGTTTTCTGCAGCTACTAAATGAAGAATATTCAAAGTCACCCGAGTTTACCAACTGAGCAAAGAAGAGTAATGTATGGAAAGGAATGACATCTGTCCCATTTATAGCGATGTGTAAATTGTGTCTGCCGTTTAACACTGTGCCCGAGGTTGAGAGGAATATAGTCAAAGAACTCTTTGCATCAAGCGTTGTATATCCACCTGAAGAATGGATACATCTGTCACTGTATCCAACTTAAAATTATTCCAATAGTCATAATATCTCCACACAAGAATTTGTCTTGCAGTCTGCATAATTAGTGCAGCGAAAATCCTGTAGGGGGCCTGTAACCTCACCAAAAAACAATTCATGTTGCCCTTCAGCAACTTCTAATGTCTTGACACTTAAAACCTGTTGTGGTCTCTTTTTTAAATATTGTGCTGCTCTCGAATACTCTCTCTTGGCAGATCTGACCCACTTCGTTAGTGGCTCAGTAAAACTCTTATTGATGGGTTTTCTTCATGGCCAAGCAATGCCTCTTCTCTGGTTTCTGCTGGTGAACTTTCTGAATACTGTTTTCTTTCTCATATCTTTAAAGATTTCCAATCTACAGTTCCATATTATTGGCTGTTGCCGACTGACTTTTCAGTTTGATATGTTTCCTGCTGCAGGCTTTTCCACACATTATCATCATTGCATGGCATTTCCCTCACTACACTCTGGTGTCTGGAATGTCCTTGAAATCCTTGACCCTGCTGTGATTTATTGCAGCGTGTTATCTCTTCAGACTTCTTATTGCTTTCTGTGATCACTGTGATCACAGATCATTGTAAGTCCTTTGAGATTCAGGGCAAGTTGGATCTGCTGAGAGCTGCAGGCCGATCAGTGAGTTCTCTATCGAGTGCCATGCGGATTGGCAAGTGTGGGCAATGCACCCAGCAGAGGCCCAGCATCAGTAAGGAGCGCAGATGTAAGTGAGTGAGAGTTGGCTGTAGAATTTGACATGGGGATTAGGGTGTGTGTGCAAGGGTGTCAGAGGTCGCAGCAGGGAATCGCATGTCAGTCCCTGCCATCCACCAACATCCTCGGCTGTGGCTTTGTCACCAAGGAGAGACTAAGATGAAGCCTCTTTCGTGATTGAATTAAATTAAAACTGCTATGATTTTCACCACTGCAGACAGCATTAAATTCAGCCCCATTGTGTACTGCTGGCTTGCGCTCTTTACAAAACAAAAACAAATCATCTATTTCCTTGTTCCAGACCAACATTTAAAATTTAAATTTTAAAATGTGCATATAGTCTT